GCAGAGCGGCTGGGCCCGTGAGCCATGGCCGCTGAGCCTGCGCGTCCGGAGCCTATGCTCCGCAATGGGAGAGGCCACGACAGTGAGGGGCCCGCGTACCACAAAAAAAAAAATGGAAATACTCTGGCTTAGTAGCCCTTCTGGAGCTGGATGACCTACTTGGGAGCATGGAGAAGGCTCCTGGAGGAGGGAGCTGGGATGATTCCACTTGGAGAAGGGAAGGCTAGGATGCAGAGAGAGTCTAGTTTCTGAAAGGGGACAGGCAGCAAGTTGGTGATTCCTAATAATGGGTAACTGAGACGTGTGGTCAGCGTTATCTCGTGGATAGCAGAATATTGGGAAGGAAGGGGTATTTGGCAGAAAGCCCTGGTGTGGCCCTGTCGGAGATGGCTGTGGGAAACAGCATAGGCTCTGGAATCAGATATATTTGGGTTTAAATTCCGAGTCCCTATGTGACTGAGGCAAGTTTCTTAGCCTCTCTAAGCCTCAGAATCACCAAACTCAAATCAGAAGTTAAAAGGGCTACAAACTATGTAGATGAAGTAGCTGACATACAGTGTACAATCAAGAAACACTAGCTTCCCTCTCTTCCTCCGCTGATCTGTTATTCTAAGACCCCGAGATTAACCTAAAGCCTCTTGCTGCTCCTTGCTCCCTTAGGTGACTCTGGCATCAGCTGGTGAAGCAGTGGGTGATGGCATCCCTGCTGCAAGGCCGTGAGTACCCCTGCAGGAGAAGAGGGCTTGGGGAGACAGCCCAGGGACAGGGAGGAGGCTGGACCCCTGTTCAAGAGCTCCTCCTGGGCCCTCCACCCTCCCCGCTGGCTACCCAGTCCCTGCTTCTCCTGGCTCAGGGCTGCCTGTTAATCAAGACCTGCTGCTGATGCAGAAAGGCACGCTGATGCGCAAGGTGAGGTCCAAAAGCTGGAAGAAGCTAAGATACTTCAGACTTCAGGACGATGGCATGACAGTCTGGCATGCCCGGCAGGCCGGAGGCAGGGCCAAGCCCAGCTGTGAGTGATGTGGATAGCTAGGGGCGGGCACATGGGTGGATAGAACCCTGAGGACCCAGCAGCCTGAGAGCAGGGGGAGGGACCAGTGTCCTGTGACGTGCCCTTGTGCTGTCCCTTTTGTGTCTGTGTCTGAGCCTGTAAAATGGAAATTATAACAGTACTTGCCTCTTAAGTGTGTTATGAGGATCAAATTGGTTATCGCAGGCAAAGACCTTCGAAGAGTCCTGGCACATAATAAAGCTCAGTAAATCATAGATTATATATTATTATACTATAATAATAATAATAATTATTATTATTATTATTAGAACTTGATCTCAGGCATCAGAATGTTTGGATTAAAGCCCTGGCTCTCCCAATTTCTAGCTGACTGGCTTCGGAAAAGTTAGTTAACTTAAACTAATATCAGTTTCCTCATCTATAAAATGGGGATTAAACAGTACCTGTCCAGTATGTTACAGAGGCTTAAGAAGTTAATGTATAAATCACCTAGCATGAGGTCTGAAAGCAGGATGCATTTAATAAATGTTAGTCATTATAATGAATACTTCTAAATATCATAAATGTGTCATAATAATGTGCATCCTATTGGCCAAACACTTTATGATCCCTCTAAAAATTTGATCACAGGACACATCTAAGAGAATCTACTTTAGAGACATAACCAAAGCTCACGATCCACACAAGCTCCAGCTGAAGAAGTGGGGGGAAGGATTTCTCTGGCTCCCTCCCAGACATCTGGAAAGAGGAAGCCCTCAAACCTGGAATGGGAGAATTGAATTGGGCACATCATGCTTTGGTGTAACTGCTTCTACCCTGCAAGTGTGTTTCCACTGGTCAGCCCCGCCAGTCCTCCTGTGATCACCATGTAAACTGGCCATGGAGGGGACCATCCCTTATTTAAGATGAGGGCACTGAGGGGTTATGCCATTTTGGCCCATGTCACGCTGCCAGCTGGTGGCTGGAAGCCAGGTCTTGCCACTCCCAGAACAGGCCTCTTGCCATGCTGCCTATGAAAACAGCAATGACTCGTGGCAGCCTGAATTCTAAGGGTCTGCATCTCCCTGTACTAAGGCTTTGGGGGTTCCAACCTGTGGAGGCTGGGGTCCCTCCTCCTGTGGCTTCAGAGAAAAGGAGGGAGTACTGGTCCTTGACCCTCAGCTGCTGCAATTTGGTGGACTCTCTTCCTCAGTGCCCGCACTTGCCTCTTCTCTGGCAGTCTCAATATCCGACGTGGACACAGTGCGTGAGGGCCATGAGTCTGAGTTGCTGCGAAACCTGGCAGAGGAGTTCCCCCTGGAGCAGGGCTTCACCATCGTCTTCCATGGCCGCCGCTCCAACTTGGACCTCGTGGCCAACAGTGTTGAGGAGGCCCAGATCTGGATGCAGGGGCTCCAGCTGTTGGTGGACTTTGTCACCAGCATGGACCAACAGGAGCGGCTGGACCAGTATCAGCAGGATGGAGTCAGAGTGGGCTCCACGGGTCACTGAAGGAGCCAGATGCTTCAGGGCTAGGGACCAGTGGGAGGGGGCACAGGGCTAGGGAAGCCCGAGAGTCCAGATGGGGTGGGCAGGTACTGCTCAGCCGAAGTGAGGCTGAGATACTGAGGGAGGAATGGAGGCTTGCGATGGCACAGGCATAACCAGGCAGAGTTTGGGCAGGAATCAGGGCCCCTAGGATTGGGGGAAGGGACAGTGAGAGGCAAAGGACCAAACTAGGTGCTGATCCTGAGAGCTGAACAGAAGATCCCAGTGACATTAACTACAATGTTGGGATGGGATGGGAAGCAACTCCTTAGAGGGCTTAGTGGGGTCAACTCACTTCAAGTTTCCTAGATTGTATTCACCTTCTATGCCAGTTCATTCATTCATTCACCATGTGTTAAGCAGAATGTATGAGGCACTATGCCAGACTTTAGGAATACAAAGATTAATGAGAATCAGATACTGTTTTTGTCAGTAGAGAAAATAGAATTGTATAAATAATTTAAGTACCTTAGCAGTGTTATGGTACTCTAGATGATATGTGGGTGTCCAAAGGAAGGAGAAATATTTATTTCTAGCTGAGATGGTTCTGAGAAAGCTTCAGGGAGGAAGTAGCATTTGAGCTGAGCCTTGAGAATGAGTAGAATTTGAACATGAAGAGAGGAGGAGGGAAAGGTACTCCTGCCTGAGGGAACAGCATGAGTAAAGGCCCAGAGGTGGGAAACTGAAGAGCAGGAGAGAGAGTGGGACATCAGCGAGCAGGGGAGTTGCTGAGTCTGGCTGAGGTACGGGGAGGTCAGTGATGTGTTGAGAAGACGAGGTTGGGGCCAGATCATGGGGGTGAAGGAGATCTTAACTTCTACGTTAAGGAATTTGGGCTTCTTTCTGCAGGCAACAGGGAGGTCCCCGCAAGCACCTGAGCCATGCAGGGACAAGGTAGATCGGTGCTGTGGGGAGATTATTCCAGAAACTAATGTGGAAAATGAATTGGCATTGGGGAGAGACTGGCGACAAAGACAGGGGTGCAGATGTCAGTGGATGAACGTGCACACACATCTGCACACACAAACACACACTCAGTGCTTTTGCCTTGACTCAGACCTGGATGGCTGAGTGATTGGTTCCAGCACGGAGACAAAAACCAGGATGGTCGGATGAGTTTCGGAGAAGTCCAGCGGCTACTTCACCTGATGAATGTGGAAATGGACCAAGATCATGCCTTCCAGCTTTTCCAGGTGAGTCTTCTGGGGAAGGAATAGCAGAAGCCAGCCAAGGCCACATTCTCACTTGGCCGGAAGTCCTCTGACCCTCTCAAGGAACACTCATCTGGTTGAATATCTCCTATGCACCCTAGCACTATGCCAGGCTCAATGGGAAGTGTGGGCAGGACGTGGTTCTTAACCTTCAGTCTTGTTGGAAAGATGACTCATAAACTTATGAAAGGTAAATAACAACATGTTATTACATCAGACCTCAGGGATCTCTCTGCCCTTGGCCAGAATTTCACAAGTGCCTAGTACAGTGGAAAACTCCAACTGTAGGTGAGTAAATAGGAGGAGGGATCTTCTGATCTTTTAGGGACATGTTGGGGTATTTAACTCTTCCTGGTTGAAAATTATCTCCAGTAGCAAATGGTATGGCTGAAATTTTGCTTTTTTACTTACTGAAGTGGCTTCTTCTATGAACACTGAATGTCAGGAATTCTGTGGAATCATGTTTGGCTCCACCAGTAATATTGCCCTTACAGGGCAAGTCAAAGCCAAAAAGTCTGCTGTTAATAGGGTTCGTCCGCTCTCCTCTAAACCCTCTTTTGCAGAGAGCAGATGCATCCCAGTCTGGGACTCTGGAGGGAGAAGAATTTGTAGAGTTTTATAAGTCATTGACTCAGCGTCCTGAGGTGCAGGAACTGTTTGAAAAGTTTTCATCTGATGGGCAGAAGCTGACCCTGCTGGAATTTGTGGATTTTCTCCAAGAGGAGCAGAAAGAAGGAGAACGGGCTTCTGACCTTGCTCTAGAACTCATCGACTGCTATGAGCCTTCAGATAGCGGTAAGAGGACAAGGGTGGGAGGCACCAGGTGTCGGGGCTGGATGGGGGACTGTGATTAGGAAGGTGCAGAGACAAGCAGCCTTCTGCTTAACTAAGGGAAGGCTGAGTCCACCCCTATCCAGGCCCCCTGCCCAATCAGCTTCATCTCATTCAACCACTCTTTCGGAAGGAGAGAGCCATTTCCTGCCCACATGAGACAGGAGTCTCCTCTGTAGTGCTGGATTTCTCAGGAGGAAGAACATTCCATAAGTCCCCTTTCCTCCACCATGCTCATGTTTCTCATCCTTCACTTTCAGGAAGTTCTTCCTGATATCAACATTTGTCCTCAGTGGAAATGGAAAATCCTTGGTCCTCTTGCTTTTAAAAAAAAATAATTAATTAATTATTTATTTATTTATTGGCTGCGTTGGGTCTTCATTGCTGTGCACGGACTTTCTCTAGTTGTGGTGAGTAGGGGCTACTCTTCGTTGTGGTGCGCAGGCTTCTCATTGTGGTGGCTTCTCTTGCTGCGGTGCACAGGCTCTAGGTGCACGGGCTTCAGTAGTTGTAGCACGCGGGCTCAGTAGTTGTGGCTCGTCGGCTGTAGAGCGCAGGCTCAGTAGTTGTGGTGCACAGGCTTAGTTGCTCCGCAGCATGTGGGATCTTCCTGGACCAGGGCTCAAACCCATGTCCCCTCCATTGGCAGGCGGATTCTTAACCACTGCACCATCAGGGTAGCCCGGTCCTCTTGCTTTTGGCCTCTTCTCTAGTGCATGTGATTCCTTTTCCTCCAGCTCCCTTCATGGTTCCTGTTGGCTGTCTCTTTAAATGCTGGCTCTCTATCCTTTCCTGGGCTTTCTCCAAATTCTCCAAGTGGTTCTTGAGTCCTAAGCCCCTGAGCAGGGAAACTAGTCAGTCCCTGGCTGAGGGGGATGATGAGGTGGACAATCATTTAGCTCTTTACAAGCACAGCTAAAATATGCCCTGTCTGCCCTCAAACCTTTCTCTTTGCCCCTTTACTAGACACCTTCCTGCCCTCCATTCCCTGCAGAAAGTGAAGAATTTACATTACTAATATTAAGTGACTTACAAGGCATTTTACATCTCTTCTTTTAGTCCTCACTATATCCTTGTAAATCAAAACCAATAATCTTTATTGGGCCTTTGCTAAATATCCCAGAATGTGCTAATATCTCTTACATGTTTTTCCCTTCAAATCCTTCCAACAACCTGAGGAAGTGGGATCTATTATTGTCAGTTGTACAAAAGAGGAAAACCGAGGTTAAGAAAAATTAAATGACTTGCTCAGAGTCAACAGCTAATGAAAGGAGGAACTGGGATTCAAACCCAGGTCATCTGACGCTTACCTGGTGCCTCTCTTGAGAACAAGGATTAGAGATGAGAGGAATGTGAGCTGGACAGGTGACCCAGGTTTCCTAGGTCTCAACTCCCACTCCATTTCATTCATTCATTCACTCACTACTTCAGCAAATGCTCACTGAGTACTTGTAATGTGCCAGGACCTATGGTAGGCACCAGAGTTACAGTAGTAGGTCAGACAAGGACAGTGCCCTCATGGAACACAGAGTCAAACAGAAAGCGTTGGAATCGCTGATTCCAGATTCATGTGGGTGCTCAGAGAAGGAAGGGGCTGTAAAGCAATCAGTTCAGGAAACTAAATAGAAGAGGAAGTTGGTGGGTTAAGAAATAGGATCCTCTATTTTCGGTTCAGGATCCGGTATACATCATTACATTTATTCTACCTCCCACCACTTTTGGTGTTCCTTCCCCTTGCACTTGGCTATCAGATACTACACTCTGGCTGCAGAGTGTGGTATCAGTCAGGAGACGGGGGCTCAAGTCCCCACTCTGCTTCTTAGTAACTGAGTAACTCTGGGAAAGAG